TTGCTGGCGTCTGAGTCGGACTGGAGCTCTCTGCCCTTTACCAATCCAGCCACGGGCCCATCCATCTGGCCCATCAAGACTCACTCTCATTTCATCAGTCCATAAAACCTTAGAAAAATCAGTCTTGAGATATTTCTTGGCCCAGTCTTGACGTTTCAGCTTGTGTGTCTTGTTCAGTGGTGGTCGTCTTTCAGCCTTTCTTACCTTGGCCATGTCTCTGAGTATTGCACACCTTGTGCTTTTGGGCACTCCAGTGATGTTGCAGCTCTGAAATATGGCCAAACTGGTGGCAAGTGGCATCGTGGCAGCTGCACGCTTGACTTTTCTCAGTTCATGGGCAGTTATTTTGCGCCTTGGTTTTTCCACACGCTTCTTGCGACCCTGTTGACTATTTTGAATGAAACGCTTGATTGTTCGATGATCACGCTTCAGAAGCTTTGCAATTTTAAGAGTGCTGCATCCCTCTGCAAGATATCTCACTATTTTTGACTTTTCTGAGCCTGTCAAGTCCTTCTTTTGACCCATTTTGCCAAAGGAAAGGAAGTTGCCTAATAATTATGCACACCTGATATAGGGTGTTGATGTCATTAGACCACACCCCTTCTCATTACAGAGATGCACATCACCTAATATGCTTAATTGGTAGTAGGCTTTCGAGCCTATACAGCTTGGAGTAAGACAACATGCATAAAGAGGATGATGTGGTCAAAATACTCATTTGCCTAATAATTCTGCACTCCCTGTATGTAAAAAGAGGCTAAACATGCAGGGTTATTCTCCAAACACTGTTAACCTGATTTGGAAAAATTGTCCAAATTGGCTTTGGATAGAATGTTGGCGTACGTTTTGACATTTGGATTTAATTTACTAACATTCAGTGATAAGTGAATACCCTTGCTGGTGTGTCTCATACAGCTTCTCACGTTTATTTAAATCAGATTTTTTTTTTATAGAAATTCCAAATATTCTCTGATCTTCAATTGAAACAAACACATTTTTCCCCTAAACACTAAAGTTGTAGGAAATTGGAATCTAAATTGCAAAAATTAGGCTAGAATAGCATATCTGTTAGTAGAGCTAAGAGAATATATCCAACTTGTCTATTACAGTCACCTCTACAATAGTAACTGCTTACCTATTTTCAGTCTCTAAATTTTTCAAATGTGTTTTCAATTTTCTAAAATGTGTTGTTTAAGAAATAACCCCTATTTTGTGTACTTTTATGTAAACTGCAAGGTACCCATTCTCTTACACTGAGAAACTATGCTAATGCATGTATGATAAACATAAACGTATGTTGGCACTCAGACCAAACGGGTAAACGGGTGCAGATATCGAGATAACCCATCTGTAAACAACCTCAAAATATAAATACAAAATCTAGTTAATGGTACCGCACTCCAAAAGATAATTGCTCAAAAAAGGAGGTATTTTAATTCATATTATAGACAAGATCAGAGACAATCTATAGTGCATCACTTCTTAAGGCATGTATGGTCATGGCCGGCCTTAGGGGTGTGCGAGCTGTGCGGCTGTGAAGGGCGCCATGGAGCAGGGGGCGCCCTGCGGCCGACACAACTCACACATGGCCGGCCGGAAAAAAACACACATTTGCGGTGGGGGCGAAGCTTCCTGTGTGACTGGGGCGGAGCTAAAAGCGCCGGATAACTGCTGTAGGGGAAGCAGGAAGGAGTCCCTGCTTTCCCACCAAACAGTCTCCATGAGCTGCACTGCCTCCAAAATGAACTCCACAGGTAACTGTGTGATTGTCAGTGTGAGTGTGACTGCCTGTTTGTCTGTGTGTGTGACTGTCTGCCTGTGTGTGTGTGTGACTGCCTGTGTGTGTGTCTCTGTGTATGACTGTCTGCCTGTGTGTGTCTGTGTGTATGACTGTATGTGTGTGTGTGTGCTGTGTGTGTGTGACTGCCTGCCTGTGTGTGTGTGTGTGTGTGTGTGTGTGACTGTCTGCCTGTGTGTGTGGGTGTGTCTTCCTGTGTGTGTGTGTCTGTGTGTATGACTGTCTGCTTGTGTGTGTGTCTGTGTGTATGACTGTCTGCCTGTGTGTGTGTGTGTGTCTGTGTGTATGACTGTCTGCCTGTGTGTGTCTGTGTGTATGACTGCCTGTGTGTGTGTATGACTGTCTACCTGTGTGTGTATGACTGTCTGCCTGTGTGTGTGTGACTGTCTACCTGTGTGTATGACTGTCTACCTGTGTGTATGACTGTCTGCCTGTGTGTGTGTGTGTGACTGTCTACCTGTGTCTGTGTGTGTATGACTGTGTATCTGCATGTGTCTGTGTGTGACTGTCTGCCTGTGTGTGTTTGTTTGGCTGTCTGCCTGTGCATGTGACTGCCTGCCTCTGTGTGTGTGGATGTCTTCCTGTGTGTGTGTTTGGCTGTCTGACTCTGTGTGTGTGGATGTCTGTCTGTGTGTGTGTGTGGCTGTCTGCATGTAAGTATGTGTGTATAAGACTGTATGTGTGGTTACCTGTGTGTGTGGCTGTCTGCCTGTAATTGTGTGAGAGTGTGTTTATCTACCTGTAACTGGGTATGTGTGCTACTGCCTGTACCTGTGTGTTTCTGCCTGATCCTGTGTATGTGACTATCTGCTTGTGACTGTGTGCATGTGGTGGATTTGACAGTGTATATGTATAACTGTGTGCATCTGACTGTGTGCACATAACTCTGCAAAAATATACACTTGCATTCACACACAGACCTAAATGCATGTTTTTATCTGAATTAAATAACCATCTCACACAGCCAATAAACCCAGCACAAATATCACATACAACCAATACACGCATATCACACACAGTTAATACACTCATTACAAATATCACACACAGCCAACACATAGCATAGATATCACACACAGTCATCACACCTACTATCACATACACATACAACACAAACATTACATCATACATGATGACTGGGGGGGGTGCTGTGAAGATTTTTCGCACAGGGCGCCTAAAGGCCTAAGGCCGGCCCTGTGTATCGTAGTAAGTGTACAGCTGGAGACTCCCATGAAAAAGACTCACAACAGTAGGTGTTTAGTTCATATACAATAGTTGATGGGATCCAGAGAAGTGAATAGAACCCAGCTGTGACTTGCAAGAGTGTTTTTCACTAATTACAATGGGATATACTGGTCACATGCAGTAAGGAGAACACAGCAATATATGCATAAGAATGACATCACAGAGACAGGTGTATAGTAGGAGGAAAAACGTTTTTTTTTACTTTTTTTTTTGCTGAGGTGAAGAACAAGATGTGGAGCATTTATTGCTTTTGTCCCAAGTGTGTTGTTTTTTTTTGTTTTTTTTTACATCCATAGACCTATTGTAAGAGTAATTTCACTACGGTCATATATTTTGCTGTCAGTGTCTTTTCCTGAAACACAATAGCTTCTGTCAGGTGTATTATCGTTTTTTATTTATTTTTACTTTCTGCTTTTTATGCTCACCTTATTTTTTAGAAGAAATGCACGATTACAAAGAAATCTATAAAGATTACCCAGCACTCCTTTTGAAAGGTCCACATCAAATATAACTACAAATAAATAAATATTAGTTTTGTCCTGTCGGTATATGGTAAAACTATACCTGTCTTAAATTTCCACTGTTTAAAAAAATGAATATTATAAAAACCACCTTTGACAGCATTGCACTGAATACAGTTTTATCTTGTGAAACTCCTTTTTTCATGATTGAGCAAACCTAACGTGTCATACCAAATATACTGTTTTAGTAAAATTCCACTTTTGAAAGTCCTCAAGAGATATATGCAATTATCATTAAGGAGTATGGTGTAAAAAAAAAAAGTGTGTGTGTGTATATATATATATCAAAAGTGTAATAGCAATAGCACAATGTGGACACATGCACTGTTACTTTCCATTTCCTCCAGTGGGTTGTGGCTTAATTTGTGCAAAAAATAAATTAGAAAAAAATCCTTACACGCGTAACAATTGTCTTCCATAGCTTGGGATTGTTTGCTGTATCATACAACAAAAGAAAAAAATGTACAGTATAAAACCCTTTATGGTACATACTACAATGTTAAAACAAATTTAAAAAGGTTTACAACAATGTTGGTGGGACCTTTATGGTTTTAAACCCACTCTCTGCGCTTTCAGTAAAGAGTTCTGCAGTGGTACTTTGTTTAGGTGCAGAACGTCCTCCTCTCCTGGTAACCGTCTGTGTCCATTTTTGCTTTTCTTGGAGCTTGGTTTCCTTTATCAGCGAGAAACACTCACAAGTTGTTTTATATTTGCCGTTCTCTCGTTTAGCCAGCCCTCTGGACCACATGGCGTGATGATGTCAGTGGTGACACAATTGCTGACATGTTTTGCCTTACCAATTGGGCTTCCTCAGAGCATATGTTGTCACAATCTAGCTTTCAGTTATTTATACCCAGTCCACTTAATCACTAATTAAGTCTTCTTAAAGCATATTGCGACTTCTAATGGTTACAATTGCAAGTCTACATAGTTACTATTGCAATAACGACTGTAACATATTAATTTGTGCTCACATAGCAAGAGAGTATATAATACACATATAGTATGATTGATTGTTTAGTACCTATAACAAGAAAAAATAAATACATTCTAATAAGACAAAGCGATTGTGATCTTGTAAAAAGGAGGTACCTGGAGCATGTGGCACCCAGCGCAGGTCCTATTTTTGCCCCCACCCCTGCCAACTCGGGGTTGAGCCTGCACCTCTTTACTTCAATCTGTGTTTAGCAGATAACTCCCCTATTTGCTATTCTCATGTGAGTTTGACAAATTTAAGGACACCAAATAAGGAGCTATCTGCTTAACAGCTCCCCAATTTGGTATATTTAAATATGGAAATCTCACATAAGGGGACCAATTTAGGGAATTATCTCCTAAACAGCTAAAAGATCAAAATTAAAAGCCCTTTTCCTTCAGTTGTTTAGTAGATAACTCCCTTATTTGTTATCCTTATGTGGGATTGCAATATTAAAGGACACCAAGGCTAAATAGGGCCCTGGGATGAGGCACCTGTGACAGGGAGGGGTGCAAAACCAAGGAGTTGGCTAGACTCCCAAATATATATAAAACAAGAGGGGGTTGGCTGCACTCACCTTAACTAGCCAACTCCTTGGTTTTGCACCCCTCCCTGTCACAGGTGCCTCATCCCAGGGCCCTATTTAGCCTTGTACTGCAGAGAGCCCCAGATGGAATTTTTTTCCCCAAGTAGGTTAATCTCATAAGAGCAGACATTGGGCTGTTAGTGTAGGACCTGCCAAAGATGGGGTACATTGACGTTGTGGCAGGCTTATGCAATGTATGATCATATAATGTAACTAAACCCCCATTATTTTTGCCTAGATTAGGTGTTTTTTTAAAAAAAACAAATAAACAATCTTTCAACATTGAAGTTGCTGTTTAGTGGATAGGTGAGTGCGCTGGATCTTGTGTATTATATATATATATATATATATAGATAGAGATATTCATGCACAATCAGAGACATAAACCCACATAACTACACACACACAATCACGTACATAAACACAACACACACACTTGACCACAGAGATACACATAATCACTGATATACAGACACACAATCACATACACACATAATTAGACATACACACAAAACATCACATACATACACACATTTAATAATTAAGAGGTCCACCGAGCCTCCCTACCTTGCTCTGGAAGGACTAGAGTGGATCCTCAGTCCCTTGTGGTCAGTGGTTGTTGCTGGGATCTCTGTGCTCTTCCTGCACAGGTCCCTCACACACCCTGTAGTGACGCCGAGTCCAGAATGACATCATAATCCAGTTGCCGGCTCACTGCAGGGCGAAGACTGTCAGACACAGTCAGATGCACACAGTCCCACACACATAGTCACTTGCACATAGTTATAGGCAGACAGTCACACAGGAAGTCACAGACAGTCACACACACACAGGCAGTGACACAAGCAGTCACACAGGCAGTAACAGGCAGACAGTCAAACACACACACACAGCAACAGACCCTCATACACACAGTCATGGACAGTCACAGACAGTCACACACACACAGTCACACAGACAATCACAGGCAGACAGTCACACACACACATACATACACACACAGTCAGACACTCACACACACAGTTACAGACAGTTACACAGACAATCACAGGTAGACAATCACACACACCCAGTCACAAACAATCACACAGACACAATTACAGTTCCACACAGCACACACTCTCTCACACTTAGTCAGCTTGGGCTGGAGGAGGAGTGGATTCAGTCCCTGGTGTGTAGTAGTTGGGAAAGCAGGGACTCCTTTCTACTTCCCCTCTGTGTACAGCAGTAAGAGTCTGCCTCTAGCTCTGCCCCCACATCCGATCCCAACTCTTCCTCTGGGCAACAACACAGCTCACAGAGCCCCAAGCCTTGCCAGCCCTGGTGGCACCCGGGGCGGAATGCCACTGCTCCCTGACATTCCTATGCGACTGAGTCAGCCATGACTTACTGAATCTTCATCACATTATCTTTTTTCAAACATTGCACATTTTTATAGGCTATCCATTAACATGTTTCTAGTGCAGTCCAGTATCCTGCTTCTAACACGCACACTCAAACATACATTTACCAGAAACCCTTCAGTATATAAGCTCTCCTTATTTAGCCATTGCCAGTTCGCAGTTCTGTCTAATAAAAAGGTAATCCAGGCCGGTGCAAGGATATATCATATATGATCATAAGCAAATCAGCGGAGGACCGCGGTACAAGAGCTTCTGTTTCGTGTACCCGACCAGACTGAGAGGAAGTGCACTGAGCACAGGGTCCTCCCCTTCCACCATCTTTACCTTAGTGGTCTCTCTCTCCCTCCCCCACACCTTTCCCTTAGTGGTCTCTCCTCCCCCCACCTTTCCTATAGTGGTCTCTCCCCCCCATCACTTCCTTAGTGTTCCCCCCCCACCTTTCACTTAGTGGTATCTCCTGCCCCCCATCTTTCCCTTAGTGGTCTCTTACCCCCCCATGTCCCTTAGTGTTCTCTCCTGCCCCCAGTGTCCCTTAGAGCCATCTCCCATCCCTTCTCTGTTGTGCCTCATACCTCTTTGTAGTGTGGCGCGGACCGCGGTACAGGAACTTCTGTTTCCTATACCCAGCCGGACTGACAGTAAGTGCTCACTTAGAGAGCACTTCCTTTCAGTCAGAACGGGTACAGGAAGCTCCTGTAACGCGGTCTGTGCCGCCCGGCCATGCTACATTAAGTGACTGGCAGGAGGGAGCACAGTGCGCTTCCCGCCTGCCGGGTCACTCAAATATTGCGCACTCCAGGCTGGTGCGCCCTAGGCGACTGCCTAAGTCACCTATAGGATGCATTGGCCCTGCAGGTAATGTAATGTTTGCCTCCTTGGTGGCTTTTGGTAATACTAAGGCACTTCTAAGGAAGAGTAAAACACATTTCTATCATTATCTACCATTCCTGCTGCTTTAAGCCCTGTGGTTCCCAAACCAGTTTTCAATGTAAACCGATATTCCCGATTTTGTTTGTATTCCCACTTGAACAGAGTTAGGAAATAAACCCTGAACTATTGATATACCTGGAAGAGTGGATTGAGGAGAATGAAGATACTCAAAAGACCCATAGAGAATAGCATGTATTGTCATTCCAAGTATTGTGTTGTGATGAATTACTATTGTCAAAAGAGACTTTTGTTACATGAAAGTGTTTCTTGTATCAGATACTTACAGCTGGTCTTCGTGATCTCTTCTAAATAAACAATTAAAACAAAAATTAGAAAAGGGCAGTCTTTGCCCTTTTTCTGATAAGAAAGGTTCCAACAGCATTTTATGCAGTGTAATTTCCAAGATTTGTATCGTCATTCATATAATGAACTGACCACACCAGATACCACAAACTGTACTTGGAAACCTATAACACGGCGAGGGAGGACAATTTCACCATGTATTAGGGCTCACCTGATACACCCCTTACCACGGATGAAAGCTTGACATCTTAGCTTCTAGATGGAGTTTCTCACCCGCATCCCTAACCAACCACTCTAAAACTTCACTATAAAGAATTTTGCTTATAATCCTGATAATTTATCATAAATGCTTACTGTTACAGTATTGACCAATTTGATGTCAGCAGTTTGGCTTCAGCCATTTGGTCAAAGATAGCATTTACCAAGATGAAAAGATTGGTATTTGATTTGGGAATATTTTTTAATTTTTTTGTAATTTTTTTGTAATTTTTTACCTCAAGCAAACCCATGGCATCATATGTTTCTAAAATCATAACCATAGCTCTATGACTTTGTGCTACTTTGAGATAAATTATATCTGTGTACATACTTTATATAATGAAAGATGCCCCCAGTAATGCTGATATAAAACTTCCTTTCATCGGGAATTTTAAACGAGAATGATATAGAATGTATTATCTTTCATCTTTAGACTTCAAAGGAGGTTATCAGAGAGGCTCAGGATAACATAGGTCTGTCTGATAAATCTCTTTGACGTCTGTATTGAAAGTAGTTCTTCGCTGCCGGGTGGATTGCAGCAAGTGAGAGTCAACAGCAGGACTTGTACACATAGTGCTTTATTTTTCATGTAATTTTCTATTAAAATGCAAAGGTATACAATTCTTAAATTGAAAGAAAAAAAAAAGGGAAAAAAATTAAATAAAACAGCCAGCAAATATCCATTATAAATATAATCTATATAGAATGGAATGATACAATATCATTCTGTGGACAAAACCACAGAACCTTCACATCTGTTATCAATGGACATAATTGCACATGTAAAAAGATTTGGTGGGATTCATGTACCAGGATGTATTGCGTGTTGCTGCACACGAACTGTAGTCACGAGATTCCACCAGCCTGAGTGCATTTTCTGGTTCCATGCAGAGAAAATACATTCATGTCACTAACAATTATTTTGTAATTATAACAGATGTAATTATAAGGGGAAATGCTTATAACCAAAATACTCTACGTGTTTAAACAAACTGTGAAAATTATACTTCAGAATAAGGTTAATGTATCATATTGTGGATAATGCTATGCTTTCGTTATATTTTTAATGTGTTGTTGTGAGTCAAAAGCATAGATATTCTACGTAATGAATGAGGACAAGGAAATCTGATATACATGTCTGTGCAACCGTGTATATGTGTGTCTGTGTATCTATCTATCTATCTATCTATCTAGATATATATTTTGGATTAGCCCTTTTAGTCCAGTAGACAAGATGCCAAAATATCAGAGTATTGCAGGATGCAATGGTATAATTATTATTGGACTAACATAATACTTAAAAGACAAGCATTAATCAAGTTGAAATCGCTGCATGCAACTCCCACTAATCTTGGATTACACTGGGGCATGCGCATTATATTGTTAGCAAGGCGACCGGAAGTCGAGAAACCGAACACTATATTATAGGTCATGGATTTACTGCTCTAATTTATCAAAAAGATCAGAAAGCTGGCAGGATTTTTTTTTATATAAAGCAGCATGAGAAACAGCTTGCCTAGTAAATAAAGATGCCCAAAGGTGTAGTTTGCGTGCACAAATTATTAGTCTGGGCGTCTGGAGGCAAAATCTTAGAGACCCACTTGAGTGTTGAGTATGAACATAAATTTCTAGACAAATGCCATGATACATGGTGATTTTATGGTGATCTATTAATGCATTATATGCTAAGGGTTTATTCAAACCATTTTGGAATAGTCTATGATTCAATTATCTGCATAACCAAGGAGACAGAACAGAGCAGTTTGCTCCAGTTTGATGCTATTCCTGTTTATGATCTTTCACGCTCCTCTCCATAAATCACCAGCGAATCTGCTGTAACCAGCTTCTATAAAAACTGACGTTCCCGGCGTCATGCTCAGAATTAAAATCTGCCCACTTCCATCCTATCCATCACAGCTCAAAGAGACACCGGTAATGATATTATCCAAATATTATGAAAACTTTGAACTCTCCCCTCCATAAATTATGGCAAAATGGCTGCTGTAGCATTGTCTATGGCAAATGTATAGGCCTAGAGTAATGATGTGCTTAAAGGAAAGCGTGGTTGGGCATTCAAAGAGGGGAACATAGCAAAGGCTATTTGTTATTGTAAGAGCACTGTACATAATACTATTCATACAGGTCAGGCCAACCTTAAAAGACGGACAATTATCTG